CTCATTCTGGTGGTTCTGTTGATTTAGCTATCTTCAGTTTACATCTTGCTGGGATAAGTTCAATGTTAGGTGCTTCTAACTTCATTACTACTATTATTAATATGAGAGCTCCTGGGTTAACAATGCATAAATTACCATTGTTTGCTTGGGCCGTATTAATTACAGCAGTATTATTATTATTATCATTACCTGTATTAGCCGGTGCAATTACGATGTTATTAACAGATAGAAACTTTAATACTTCTTTCTACGAACCAGCTGGTGGAGGTGATCCATTATTATACCAACATTTATTCTTAAAAGAAAATATATTTAATGAAATTACTAATTTATTAGTTATACCTATAATTGGTTTATCTAATTCAACTAATTCTTTCAATTTTAAAAATTTTTATTCTATGTATACTAAATTATATCCTAATAAATCATTACCTTCAAATAATTTTTTAGAATGGTTTATAGGTTTCACAGAAGGTGATGGTTCATTTACAATTACTAAACGGGGTGAATTACAATTTGTAATTTCTCAAAATTCTTTAGACGTACAAGTATTATATTATATTAAAGAACAATTAGGATTTGGAACAGTTATTCAACAATCTAAATCTGATAAAACACATCGTTATATTGTTCAAGATATAAAAAATATATCCTTAATTTGTAGTTTATTTAATGGAAATATGGTATTTTTAACTAGGAATACTCGATTTTTAATATTTCTTGCTGCATTTAATGATAAAGCTTTACGTTCTAAAATAGATATAATAGAACCTATTTCTACAACAATTATTCCTACTTTAAATGATTATTGGTTATCAGGTTTTACTGATGCAGAAGGTTGTTTTTCTCTTTCTTTATTATCTAATAGCTCAGGTTATCGTTTAAGATTTTTATTATGTCAAAAATGGGAAGCAAATAAACCTATTTTAGATCATATTTGTTCATTATTCGGGGTAGGAAATGTATTCAAACATTCTTCTCCAAATAATTGGGAATATATAATTAATGGAGTTAAAAATTGTAATTCAATTCTTCCTTATTTTGATAAATACGTTCTTTTTTCTAAAAAAAAAGAATCTTATAAATTATGGAAAGAACTTCGTTTACAACTTATAAAAGGAGATCATCTTAATACAAATACTAGAATAAAAATGAAAGAATTAGCTAATGAAATTAATAATGTTAAATAAAAATATTCACAGGAATATAGAAAATGGTTTAGCTAAGCTATAAAGCCAAAGAGGCAAATGTTATAAAATTTATTTATCCTTTAAAAAGGATATTAAAGACCTCTTTTAATTAATAATTAAAGGCAAATACTCTAGAAATTCTATTTATTATTTCTGTATACCATTATTCTAGTCCCTATTTAAATAACTATTATGTAACTCTTGAAAGGAAATATATAGAATAAATAGGTTTTACCTGACAGGGTAAAAGAATATCCTTCATAAAATGAAAGGTATTTGGCAATACTAGTGAAAACGGTTAAAAGCTTATATTAGCCAAGACCGTCGGTTCTTCAAGGGATCGCTACAGACTGGGTCACTGGTGGGTGCCTGAAATGGTGCTTAATGTACAGTCGTCTTCCTTACTTTAAAAGTATCAAGGATATCAATGAAACGATAACGAAACTTAGTAATCCAAACTAAGGAGGATGTTAAAGTAGAGATATTACAAGTTATATATTTTATAATTCAAATATATAATAGGAAAGAGGGTTCTTTGGACATCCAGAAGTTTATATTTTAATTATCCCTGGATTTGGAATTATTAGTCATGTAATTTCAACATTCTGTGGTAAACCAATCTTTGGTTACATGGGTATGGTATATGCTATGTTATCAATTGGGGTATTAGGATTTATTGTATGGTCTCATCATATGTATTCAGTAGGTCTTGATGTAGATACTCGAGCTTATTTCACTGCTGCTACAATGATTATTGCAGTTCCAACAGGGATTAAAATCTTCTCTTGGTTAGCAACATTAGCTGGTGGATCTATCAGATTTACAACTCCAATGTTATTTGCTTTAGGATTAAAAATGAGTCCCCAATAAATTAATTTATTGGAAAATTGCACTATATGCTGGAAACTCCTTAGAGCTTTAAGTACTAATCTAATTTACAATTGGGTAGTAAAAATCTTAAAGATTGGACAATCAGCAGGAAACCAACAAAATAGTTAATTATTTTTAGTAGGTTCCTCAGAGACTACACGTGCAACACTTAAATTGTATAAAAATAAGTGATGATATAGTCCTTTCCAACGTGAAAACGTTGGGGGGTAAAACCCAAAACTCTTTTATTTAATTATTATTTATTAATTAAACCCTTTATTTTATTAGAAATAGAAAGGTTCAGTTTCATAATAGGGAAGTATATTTAGTAATGGATAGATATAAAGAAGAAAAGATGAATAGGTATATTAAACATATAAATAATGTTATTATTATTAAAAAATAAAATTCTAGTAATAACGATACCACTAGCTTCTACTTATTCATCAACAATCTTAATCAGATTTGCTTTTTTAATATTTCTATCAGGTGCTTTATTATCAGAAATATTAGGAGGGTTATTTCAAACAACTTTATTAACTTTAGATAAATCTATTTTAAATTTAGATTTATTTCTATCCATGTCATTATTGCCTATAGTACTATATAATTCACCACGAGTGTTATACATTAACGCTAAAACTGATTATAAAGAGATATTAGCTGAAAATGAAGGTAAAAGCGGGATCTACGTTTTTATTAACAAAATAAATGGTAATCAATACGTAGGTAGTGCTGCTGATTTAGGAGATAAAAAATCAGGACGTCTTAATCGATATTATAGACCTAGTTATTTAACAAATAAAAAATTAGGTGCTAGTAAGATAAGAAGAGCTATTTTAAAATATGATTATCATAATTTTATGATAGGAATTCTTGAATATTGTTCTATCGATCAATTAACAGAAAGAGAACAATTTTATATCAGTGTTTTAGCTCCTAAGTATAATATATTAACTGCTGCAAAATCTAGTTTAGGTTATAAACATTCTTATGATTCTCTGAAGAAAATGAGTCAACCTCGACCAAATTTTTCACCATCAAAAGATCATAAAGAAGCTATAAGACTTGCAAATGCTAATAAAATATTAACTTTAGAGACAAAATCTAAAATTTCAACTACATTAAGTCATCCTATTTATGTTTATACTCCTAATCTATCATTTTTAGTTAAGTATCCTGCAATTACTATAGCTAAATTAGAATTAAAAATATCTCCAACTACGATAAAAAAATATTGTATTTCAGGAGAAATATATAAAAATAAATATAGATTTTCTTATATCCCTTTATCGGACAATAAAAATCAATAGTTATTATAATTCTAATTAAATAATAAACTCCCCCTTTTATAAAATTAAATATGTTAAAAAGAGTTCAAAAATAAAAAGTTATTTTCTTATTCACTATTGGAGGAGTTACTGGTATTGTATTAGCTAATGCTTCAATTGATGTTGCTTTACATGATACTTATTATGTAGTAGCTCATTTCCATTATGTATTATCTTTAGGTGCAGTATATGCGTTATTTGCCGCTTATTATTACTGGGTTCCAGCTAAAATATTAGGTAAACCATATAATGAATTATTAGGACAAATACATTTCTGGTCATTATCAATAGGTGTAAATTTAACATTCATGCCTCAACATTTCTTAGGATTAGCGGGTATGCCTAGAAGAATACCAGATTATCCTGATTCATTTGAAGGATGGAATCTTGTATCTTCATTCGGGTCTATTATTTCTATCGTAGCTACTGTATTATTCATTTACATTATTTACGATACTTTAGCTCAACCTGAAGATCAATTAGCAAACGATCCATGGGCTGTTCCAGCATTCTTTACTAGCCCGAGAGGTGCCGGTATTACGAAAACTGCAACTACATTAGAGTGGGCCATCACTAGCCCTCCTGCATTCCATGCGTTTGAAGGACAATTACCTGTACAATCAGTTAACTCCCCCTAGATATAATCTTTCATCCCTCTTTTTAACTATCTTACCTGACTTATATAGGAAATACAGATTCCTAAGTTTCTGTCTTTTTCCTTACTTAAATAAAAAATAGGATGATTGTTCTTGCGGACCAATCTTCTTCTCAATTTTTATGGTAATATAAAAGCAAATTGCTTGAAAGGAGACGTTATTTTGCTTTGTTAAATCACTGTAATCAGGTGATTAATGGATTTCCTTATTTACTTGCTAAATATTCGAGGGCCCGGGGTTTTTATAAAGACTTGCTCAAAATTGAAGACCTTAACCCAATAAATTCGCGAGACATAGGAACTTATTGTCGTGTTCCTTTCCTTCCTCACTTATCTTTATTTAATTAGTTTCCAGGTTCTCTAAAGATTTTTAACTAAACAAATTTTAATTTAATTGTTAAAACCTTATTTTTTTTTATTCGAATGGTTAAATTTTATTTTTATTTTACTTTCTTTTTCTTATTATCTTCACTAGAAAATAAGCCATGTCTTCTAGTCATCTATTTAAACGAATTACTTAATTTTAAAATTACTACTTTATTTTAAAATATCGGGGTCACTATTCGTTTAGGTTCTTTCAGAAGATATTAATTTGCAGAAGATATCTAAATAATTTATTAAGATATTTATAGGGGGTATTTTGAAATCTAGCTAGGACCCCTTCTATAGTATATATACCCGATAAATATAATCCTTTCATTATTAAATTTATTAGTTAATAAAAATTAAAGGATATTCTTTATCTTATTCTAACAGATTAAGGGTTGTGATACTGTTGCTGGCAGTATCGGGTAATCGTTCTAGATAGGTCGGGAATCGAACCCTAAAGCAATAAGAGATACCAATAAACTTTATTGCCCAAACTATTCTGGGTAACACATTTTTCAGAATTTAGCGTGTAAATATGTAAATCACAGGACCCCGGAGGGGGCTATAGATTATTTATATAAAGACGGGCAAGTGGCTGAGCGGTTTAAAGCGTTCGACTTGAAATCGAATATGTGAAAACATGCGGAGGTTCGAATCCTTTCTTGCCCGAAATACCGGAAAGAGAAGAATAATTATTGAATATATAATTCTAACTTTTTATTACAAGAATTATTGAAGAATATAACTCTAACACCCTTTTTCTTATTATTTAAAAATAATTGTTGTTTAATACTTATCAATTTTCTTAAGATAGGAGCTTAATTTTGTTTAATTCATTTTTCTATAGATAAAACTAACGTATTCTGAAAAAGATATTTGTTTACAACAATTGGCTAGAAGATAGGGTTAGTTTTTTAGATAAACATTGTTAATTAGCAATAATGTTTTTAAGGAAATAAATTATAAATGCCACTATCAACCTAATTATTTAATCAAATATCTCAAGCATCTAAAAGAAGAAGCTTTGGCTCTGGAATAAATAATACTCGATCTTTAGAAATTACTAGTCAAGAAGTTCTTTCTAATGTAAAACCTTCTCTTCTGGACGGTCCCCTGACGGGACCTAACGATTTAAATAAATATGGTTTAATATCTCGATTTCACAATTCTTCCTTTCTGGATGATTCTGTTAATGGATTTAATAATTATCAAAGAATTCCTGTTCGCACCCGTCCCGGGGGTCCTGGTGCTATAGAAGAAAATATAAAGAAGAATGATTTAAGTTTTAATCTTAATATTAATCCAGTTAATAACTATTTAACTCCTCCAGCATTCTCTTCATTATCTTATGAAGAAGATAAGAAAAATAACAAAAAAAGGAAAAGAACCCTACGCAAGGAGGGTTCCTGCAGTATAGGAGTTAATACTGAAAACACGATTATAAATGAAGCAGAAGGAATTTCAAATAAATTCTCAGCTAATTTGTCTAATGTGTTATTCTTTTTCTTAATATTAACTACTTTTATATGAATTATTATAATTTGGATAATAAAAAAGATTCATACGAAACAGGATTGTAGGAATAATTATTTTGCTAACAAATAAAAATAAGAATTATCGGAAGACTGTTTTTTATTGTCTGAAAAAAGAGTTAAAAATATTTGTATAAAATTATAAATTTCTAAATCATAATGTATGATAAAAATTATTGGCATGACTGATAATTAATAATACCCAATAAGAATTATTAGCAAGAATTCATATGAAAATGAAAAGGAAGAACACCTAGATTTCCTGTAAGGCACTGTCGGAATAAACAAAATAACCAATCAGCACCGGAGCCTGTTTGTTTTTAATATAAATATATTAAAAACTTCGGGTCGGGTGCGAACAGGAATCTTGTATAAAGAAGGTAAAGTTTTTGTAATAATTAGTATTACTATAAAAAATAATTCTGTTTGCTCCTCCTGTTTGTTTTTAAATGCAAACATTAAAAACTTGCGGGGAGCTCAAGGAAATAAAAGGGAATAAATCTCATCAACTGCCTTCGGTTCGCTTAATTAAATAACTACGTTATTATTAAGTGTCATCCTTTCGCCTTTATTTTTCATAATGTTTTTTACATAAATATAAAAAACTGAGAGGCTAGGGACAGATGTTTAATTTACTACGAATTTAGCCCAGCCTGCGGAAAAGGCTGGCACTCGAATTGAACTCCCCCTATCATTAAAGAATTTGTCAGGTCCCCCTGATGAAAAAGAGTTTTGCTATCTTGATTATCAGCAAGATAAATTAAATTTTGATAGTTCCACATATTCGTTAATAGATAAAATTAATAAGGTCAGATAAAAATATTTCTAGAATAGGAAGAAAATTTTTAGATTGGTTGTTGATTTAATGGATTTATTATAAATTCATAAGACATAAACTTGAGTCTTCTTTTTTATTGTATATATCTTTAATTTAATAAGAATTAATAATTTTATTAAAAGTGGCCATTTATATTTTATAAAAATAGTACTAAGTAAAAAATAAAAAAAATATGTCAACTTTACAAATAATTGTTAACAATCCGTTAGAACAGTTCGAAATCAAAGAATTCTTCTATTTTGGTGGACCTTTAATTGGGATGAAATTCTCATTAACTAATATTGGTTTATATTTAATCATCGTTACTTTCTTAATTTTAGCAATGAGCTATTTATCATTAAATAATAATAAAGTTGTTCCATCAAGATGGGCATTAGTGCAAGAATCATTATTTGGTAGTATTTTAAATATGATTAATTCTACAATAGGAACAAAAGGTCAAGCTTATTTACCATTCTTATATACAATATTCTTATATGTATTATTATCTAATTTAATAGGATTAGTACCTTATTCATTTACACCATCTTCTCATTTTGTTTTTGGTATTGGATTTAGTGTTGCTATTTTAATTGGTGTAACTATCTTAGGTTTCCAAACTCATGCATTAAAATTCTTTGGATTATTTGTACCAGCTGGAACTCCTTTAGGATTAGTACCAGTTTTAGTAATGATTGAGACAATCTCATATTTAGCTAGAGCTTTAAGTTTAGGATTACGATTAACTGCTAATATGATTGGTGGTCATGTATTATTAAAAATCTTCTCAACATTCACATGGAAAGCTGTAATAGGTGGACCAGTACTTGCGTTAATTAGTATTATACCATTTACATTCATAATTGCTTTCACAGGATTAGAACTTGCGATCGCCTTTATCCAGGCCTACGTATTTACTATGTTAACTGCTTCGTACTTAAACGATGCCATTAACTTACATTAATTTATAAAGTGTTTATAAAATAAACACCCCCTTCTGTAATATATACATTTATATAATTTGTATTAAATTTTATGGTCACTTAAAGGGACCATTTCGTAGAGAAGATTAAAAAAAAATAATCGGGAAAACATTTGAAAGAAATATTCTTCAGAAGAGTCTTAATTATATTCCACTAATAAAAGAATTTATGATTATCTGTAAATAGGGCCTACCATTTTTAGTCCTAGTCAACTGATAATTGACGGATGAATGATCTAGAAGTCTAAGAGTCCGGAATTGGTTATCCGGAAACGTGGGTGTGAATCCCACTTCGTCCGAAAGTCAACTGAAAAAATTTAATTAATCTTCTGAATTAAAATGAAAGTTTGAATCTATTTTTAATTATTAATAATAAATGGTCTTTTCTATCAGTTAAGAAACTGCGACTTTCAATATAGTAAAGCGGGACCGACACCCATGGCCATTAATACTTTAATAAAAGAAATTGAGTTATATAAAATAAAAACTTCCTACTAACTCTAAGGATTATAATAAAATTGAAGGTCTATTTTGGGCCAGGTATGGACACTTTACAGGGATATTAGTGGGTATTACGGGCCGGGTGTGGCTAGTTTATAGAGATATTAGCAGATATTATGGGCCAGGTATGGCCATTTTTTACAAAATTTATTCAATAAATCTTCTAATCTTAATAAAGAAACTCAGATGTTAATCCTGGGTAAAATATACTGTTTAACAATATAGTTAATAATGGGTTTAACTAAGATCTTGCTTAAATAAATAAACTGGCACTGTACCTATATCTTGGCTATGGTTTGGTATGCCTCGAGAGCCCATAGTTATCATTTTGGCCTCGGCTTTCATGATTTTACATGGCGATCGACTAGTTAAATATCTATTATTACCTCATTGGATTGAGGTTTAAGTATAGTGATTAGTAACACTTTGTCCGTTTTTATATACGAGCAATAATAAAGAATATAAAAAGATAGGATAATAGTAGAATTGAACAAATATTATAAAAAATAACAAATATGCAAAATAGTTTATGACAGGCTTATTTATTTGATACATTTTATAGAATTATAAAGGGAAATAGGCGAATTTATCAATAAAGTTAAAAATAATTACCTATTATATAATAAAGATCCAGGGATGGCCGCGAAAGGAGGAATAATAAGAGGGGAAAATAAGGGAGTGAATAAGGAGTGAGAAGGGCGGAAGGAAGATCAGTAAAGGATAAGGTAAATTAGAGGTTAGATTAGGGGAATGGTGAGTAAAGGGTAAGGTAAATTAAAGGTCAGATTAAGGGAATGGTCATTAATATTAAAAATTATTGCTCTAAGGGCAAAGTATTTAAAGAGCAATGGATTTTATCTTCATTTAAGAGATAGTATTTTCAAATAATAGTGTATTATCCCTACTATTATCAATAATTATTTATTTAGTAAGTAATATTACTAAACATCCTTTTTTTTTAATTAACTTATGTTAAGATAATATCTAATTAGGCCATTAAAAAGAAAAATATAAAGAGAAGGATTGTGAATGGTTAACAACTTCACTGTAAATGAAGCAACCGAAAGGTTATAGGGAGTTCGATTCTCTCTCTTCTCAATTAATTATAATTTACCCAAGAATGGGTAAAATCCATTACGTAGAGGGATTTACCCCATTGGTTGGTGGGTAATTGACGGATTTTTTTTATTTAAATTTTTTGTTCTTATTCCTCCGAAGTTATTTTTCTTCGGAAATTTTTATTTCCTTGTTAAAATAAAAAACAAACAGGTCCCTTTAAAGCCTATCCTTTAGGAAAGGGTGCTTAAATAAGAATATTTATGGAGACAAAAAGACTCGAACTTTTCTCTTTGGTATGCAAAACCAATATATTACCAGATATACGATGTCCCCTTAATTAATTACAATCTAATAACCCATTTAAAGGGAATTTTTACCATTTATTTCTTAATCCTAAATCTTTAATTAAATTTACAATAAGATTATGGATAGTGAGACTTGAACTCACACGATAAAAAATCAAGTATGCCTAAAATACTCGCGTAAACCAATTTCCGCCTTACCCATATATATTTTTCTTATTAATAGGCTTTAAATAAGAAGAAATTAGTGAAATTTGAATTAACTAATTTATAAACCAAATTAACATATCAGAGATCGGTGTTGGTGGCTATAAAACTTATATATACCTAATTATTAAATTTATTTTTGTTGTATGAAACTTTTTTAAAAATATTAATGAAATTTTTTAACTTACCTTCTATTAATTATAATGTAACACAACTTTGGCGATATTCTCTAAGATCTTTTTCTTTAAATGCTTCTTTATGGGAATTTAATAAATTGTCTTCAACATCGGTGGATCCTATAATTATTTATTCAAATGCAGATATTGATAAATTAAAAATTTTTACCGATAATAAAGGAAAAGCTGGAATTTATCAGTGGAAACATTTAGAATCTGGAAAGATCTATATAGGTTCTGCAATTGATTTAACTAAACGACTTAAAGATTATTATTCATTTTACCATTTAGATCGTAATAAATATATGTATATTTGTAATGCTTTAAGACACTACGGTTATTCAGCATTTTCTCTTTCTATTATTGAATATATAAATATTCAAAATCTCTCAAAAAATGAGACTAAAAAATTGATACTTAAAAGAGAACAATATTATATAAATCTTTTTAATCCTGAATATAATTTATTAAAAGTTGCTGGTAGTTTATTAGGATATCAACATTCTGAGGAAACAATTAAAAAGATATCAGGATCTAATAATCATTTTTTTGGTAAAGCTCATACCTTAGAAACTAAAGTTAAGATGAGTATTGCTAAAGGTACTACTATATATGTATATAGTAGTGATGGTATTACATTAATGAATACTTTTACTTCGGCTAGAGAAGCTGCTAAATTTTTTAATGTAGAACATGGTTCAATATTACGTAATGCTAAGAATGGAAAGTTATTTCAAGATAAATGGATTTTATCCACTAGTATTCAATCAAAACTTTAATTGAACACCCCCCATGTGTTGTGATTTTTTAATTTCTCCTAAATTTTTTTTTAAGTTAGTCATAAAAATTAATATAATAATAATATTAGAGCTCCATGGTCAAATGATTAAGACATTATTCTTCATAATAAAGTTATCGGTTCGATTAGGATTAGTTGTAAAAATTAATTAATCTTTAAATCTTATAGAAGTTTATTGGATTTAGTTATATATTATGCAGAAAAGGAAGGATTATGAATGGTTAACAACTTCATTGTAAATGAAACAATAGAAAGGTTATAAAGAGTTCGATTCTTTCTTTTTTTAATTAATTTTATTTAAAAGATATATATATATTGTAATATTTTGTTTGTACCCTCAATGGTCCGGGTGTTCAAAAGGGCTTTAAATATGAATTATTTTTTGGTTGGTCAGATTTGAACTAATTTCTAAAGTCTATAAAAATTTTATTGGATTTAGTAACGTACTTATGTGAAAGAAGAAAAGAGGAACCTATAAATTTAATTATGATTTTTTCCCTTAAACTTGTGGGGGGGGAGAAGGAATTTAAAATTTGAGGGCCGGGGATCTGGGCTTTACTATATTGAATTATAGTAAATGACTTGTACCCTTTTTCTTTTAATAAAAAAAAATGGTTTAGGTTCCATCAGGGAACCATTTCGTAGAGAAGGTTTAAATCTTTTAATGACTACTTTTGCTGGCTGGGCCTTTATTACTAACATAAGGACTGATGTGAAATCCCTCTAGCTCAGAGGTATGATAAGCTGTCTTTATATGTATCTTAAAGATAAGGATGATAGTTTAATTGGTAAAGCGCTCGACTCCAAACCGAGAAACTGGAAGTTCAAGTCTCCCTCGTCCTGTTATTAAACTAGTATTATCCTTGAAGACAATGCAAAGACCGAGGGCCCCGCGGGGCCCGGGCTTTTGAACTTTACTCCCGGAGGGGTAATATAAAGTTTATTTTAATAAACTTAGCTGTCCTTTAAAAAGGGGGCATCGAGTCCTTAAGACCCGAAGCTTTTTAGTTTTTTTTATGTCTTGGCATAAAATACAAAATTTATTTATATATATATATTCTTAACTATATATTAGCAAGCCTGTTACACTTGTATTATATTTCTTACCAAATGAAATAGATTGGTTTAGCTTTGTATTTTATATAATGCATTGTTTATTTAAAGGAGCTTTGCTTTAATCTCGGGACTCGAAGGTTAAAGTTTTATATTTTTTTTATAAAATATAATGTAAAATTTATTAAATTAAACTTAGTTATGTGGCGACCCTAGCCTATTTAACTTATAAGGGTTGATTAACCAATGGCGAGTTTGTCCAGGTAAAGATTTTTAAATCAATAATCAATATATTTAAGTGTAAAATTACTATGATATAAAGGATATTTATCCTTCTCTCTTTTTATAAATGATCCTTAATGGGACTTATTTATTTTCTTCCTATTTGGATTATCTCTTTTGAGGTTTTTTAAATGGATAAAAATTTTCGAGAGATGGTCTTTACAAGACCTTTATATAAATCAACTTAAGTCCGTTTTATGAAAAGATTTATTAAATAGTATTATATATTTTTAAAATATACGATAAAAAAAATCTATTATAAACGAACTATGCTGTTATTATGGGATTTATATTAATTATAATATGAACAAAACAATTCAATCTCATCCTTTTCATTTAGTAGAGCCATCACCTTGGCCATTAGCTACATCATTTGCTTTATTAACTACAACATTATCAGGTGTTATGTATTTTAATAACTATGCAAATGGTGGTTTATTATTAGCATTAGGTTTAATTTCTACAGTATTCTCAATGTCATTATGGTTTAGAGATATAATTATTGAAAGTACATTCCAAGGATCTCATACTTCTAAAGTACAACAAGGATTAACATTAGGATTTATTTTATTTGTAATATCTGAAGTATTCTTCTTTATTTCTCTTTTCTGGGCCTTTTTCCATTCAGCTTTAAGCCCTACTGTAGAATTAGGTTGTGTATGGCCTCCAGCAGGTATTGAAGTTATGAACCCTTGGGAGGTTCCATTATTAAATACAGTTTTATTATTATCTTCAGGTGCAACTGTAACTTTAGCTCATCACGGTTTAATACAAGGTAATAGAAAATTTACTATTTATGGACTTTTTGCGACTATTGCTTTAGCAATACTTTTCACAGGATTCCAAGGATTTGAGTATATTAATGCTCCTTTTACAATTGCAGATTCAGTTTACGGTAGTACATTCTACTTCACAACAGGATTCCATGGATTACATGTACTTATTGGAACAATATTTATAGCTGTAGGTTTATATAGAGTTATAAATTACCATTTTACTGATTTCCATCACGTTGGGTTAGAAGCTGCTATTATTTACTGGCATTAAATATACAAGGTGCAAATTAAAGTAATTTAATTTTAAAAATATCGCTATATGCTGGAAACTCCTTAGAGCTTTAGGTACTAATAATTTAACGTATTAGTAAAAATCTTAAAGATTGGACAATCAGCAGGAAACCAACGAGATATCTCTAGTAGGATCCTCAGAGACTACACGCGATACTCCTTTATTATTAAATTTTATTAATAAAGGATGAAGATATAGTCCACTCATTAATGAGAGTTAATGTAAATTATGTATAAAATACATAAAATTTTAAAAATTAGGTTGTAGATATTGTGTGGTTATTAGTATTCATTTTCTTCTACTATTGGGGTTCATAATTTAATGAACTTTTTATAGATTTAATCGGTGTTCATTCAATAATGAACACCCCCTTCTAAATAAAATTTCATTTTTATTTATCAAAATTTCAAAATAGAAAAATTTATTTAATAGAGAAGGATTTAGGGTATTCTAAATATAATGAAGGATTTCATAATACTAATTAATATATAATTGATTTCAGAATATAATAGATTTCAGAATACAATTTATTCATAAAACATTCTTATTATTTTTTTTATTAATTTTCTATCATTGTAATATTTTATCATATAATAATAAAATATAAATTAGATAAACTAAGTAATAACTCTTGGGGGGAGTTTATAAGTAAGCTACTTATTCCTAAATGTAATGAATCTAATACTACATTAGGGTAGATACCTAAAATGAAACTTACGATTATTAATGGTAATAATACGAAGAATTCTCTTCTGCTAATATCTGGCATTGTAGACATATATCTTGAAGCAGTCCCGAACGAGATTCGGTTAAATAACCAGATTGAGTATCCAGTACCTAAGAAAATTCCAGTAGCACCTAATATAGCCATAATTGGGTTTTGTTGGAAAGCTCCAGCAAATGACATAAATTCACCAATAAAGTTACCAGAGAATGGTGTAGCTATGTTAGCAAGAGTAGCAAAGAAGAAGATTAATGATAAGATTGGCATGCTTGTTGCGATCCCTCTGTAATATTTAATAATTCTTGTATGACTTCTAGTATATAAGATATCACCTACAATTATAAATAATAATGGAGAGATTACTCCATGTGCTAAACCTAAGATTACTGCACCTTCTATTCCTTGTAAATTGTTAGAGAATAAACCTAATACCACTACACCCATATGTGAAACAGATGAGTAAGCAATAATAGCTTTAACATCAATTAATCGTAAACAAGTTAAAGAGGCATAGATTATACTAATTACAGCTAAAGTGTAGATAAGAGGAGTGAAATATAATGTCGCATCTGGTAAGAATGGAATCATAACTCTTAAAGCTAGGTAAGTAGCTAATTTAAGTATAACACCTGCTAATAAAACAGAACCTCCTATTGGCGCAGCTACATGCGCGAATCCAAGCCATATGTGTCCAGGAATTAATGGAGTTTTAACAATAAAAGCAATTAAGAATCCTACAAAAAGTAATTTTTGTACATCTGTACCAAAATCTATAGTAGATAAGATTTGGAAATCTGTTGTTCCTGTTAAGATTAAAATTGTTATTATAGATAATAACATAAATAAAGATCCGAATAATGTATATAAGAATAATAAGAATCCTGCTTTTTCTTTAG